ACTGGTGGCCGTGCGCCTGGTAAAGAGACAATGGTCCAGTTGAACTGGTGGCCGTGCGCCTGGTAAAGAGACAATGGTCCAGTTGTACTGGTGGCCGTGCGCCTGGTAGAGAGACAATGGTCCAGTTGTACTGATGACAGTGCACCTGGTAGAGAGACTATGGTCCAGTTGTACTGGTGGCAGTGCACCTGGTAGAGAGACAATGTTCCAGTTGTACTAGTGGCCGTGCGCCTGGTAAAGAGACAATGGTCCAGTTGTACTGGTGGCAGTGCGCCTGGTAAAGAGACAATGGTCCAGTTGTACTGGTGGCAGTGTGCCTGGTAGAGAGACAATGGTCCAGTTGTACTAGTGGCCGTGCGCCTGGTAAAGAGACAATGGTCCAGTTGTACTAGTGGCCGTGCGCCTGGTAAAGATACAATGGTCCAGTTGTACTAGTGGCCGTGCGCCTGGTAAAGAGACAATGGTCCAGTTGTACTGGTGGCAGTGCACCTGGTAGAGAGACAATGGTCCAGTTGTACTGGTGGCATTGTGCCTGATAGAGAGACAATGGTCCAGTTGTACTGGTGGCCGTGCATCTGGTAGAGAGACAATGGTCCAGTTGTACTAGTGGCCGTGCACCTGGTAGAGAGACAATGGTCCAGTTGTTCTGGTGGCCGTGCACCTGGTAGAGAGACTATGGTCCTGTTGTACTGGTGGCAGTGCACCTGGTAGAGAGACAATGGTCCAGTTCTACTAGTGGCCGTGCGCCTGGTAAAGAGACAATGGTCCAGTTGTACTGGTGGCAGTGCACCTGGTAGAGAGACAATGGTCCAGTTGTACTGGTGGCAGTGTGCCTGGTAGAGAGACAATGGTCCAGTTGTACTGGTGGCCGTGCAACTGGTAGAGAGACAATGGTCTAGTTGTACTGGTGGCAGTGTGCCTGGTAGAGAGACTATGGTCCAGTTGTACTGGTGGCCGTGCACCTGGTAGAGAGACTATGGTCCAGTTGTACTAGTGGCCGTGCACCTGGTAGAGAGACTATGGTCCAGTTGTACTGGTGGCAGTGTGCCTGGTAGAGAGACAATGGTCCAGTTGTACTGGTGGCAGTGCACCTGGTAGAGAGACAATGGTCCAGTTGTACTAGCCGCCGTGCACCTGGTAGAGAGACAATGGTCCAGTTGTACTAGTGGCCGTGCACCTGGTAGAGAGACAAGGGTCCAGTTGTACTGGTGGCAGTGCGCCTGGTAGAGAGACAATGGTCCAGTTGTACTGGTGGCAGTGCACCTGGTAGAGAGACAAGGGTCCAGTTGTACTGGTGGCCGTGCACCTGGTAGAGAGAAAATGGTCCAGTTGTACTGGTGGCAGTGTGCCTAGTATCACTGAAGAAAATTGATCCCATAAAAATGTGCGGGTAATGCATACTGCCGGTTTCTTTTTTTAAAAGCTCCTATTAAGTGTTGTGGGCTCTGTGGCTAAGTCGATGCGAACGCTTCGCTTCGTAATGCCGGGATGCCATGTTCGATCCCAGCTGTGGGCAATGCGCCTTGCGTTGGTTTCGACGTTGTTATCAAGAAAGCCGACCGTCCAGAAAGCAATGGCAAACTACTGGATGTAAATTGCCTAGAGAAACCACACAACAGCCAGGGGCTGTTAGGGTTGGTTCTGTAACGTCCTGTAAATGATACGCAACTAACTTTTATTAAGTGTTGAATGGTTAATTAGTAGAAAAATATATTTGAAATAATCAATCAGTCAAGTATCGTTTCCATGGTGAAGGTTGGCAGCCATGAATCTCCAACAGGCCATATCTTTTGTCCTGGTTTTACACTCTCTCAGACTGCTGCCCGGCCACCTGTTGATGTCCTGCCACTTGTATCGTTGCCTACCTCTCACTCTCTTGCCTTCAATCTTTTCTCCTAGAATGGTTTTTGAAAGTGTTTTATGTCTTTCAATGTGGCCACAGTATTTCAGATGTCTTTTATTATTATTATTATTATTATTATTATTATTATTATTATTATTATTATTATTATTGGAAATAATATGAAATGTATACAGATAAATAACTAAAAGCGGAATTCGATACATGGTTGGGAGAAAACGATTAGTCCCCTTGCCAATTTTGTGGAAGGTAGGAGTTCTGCGTCGCTAAGAATTATAAAGGGGGAGGGGAGGGGTGCCTTAGGCATCACGCCGGCCGCCTTTACTTTTCACGATTTTTGACCTGGTACCTATTTAAGGCGAGGTTGACCAGGGAGAAAGGGTCATTTTTGAAAGAAGAAAACAACGTCGGGTTCCTTCATAACATAAACCCACGACCTGGAAACCGTGCCGGTACCCACCTGAGATTTATATTACAGTTGAAAATAGGTCATGTTCACGTTTCCAGGCCCTACACACTGCCTGATCTTTCATTTATACTTTCCTGGACTCTTTTACGTCGGAGGGGTGTCCCGTTGTCTTCCCTCCAATTACATAAGCGCCGATGTAGCGTGTTCTGTACTACACGACGACAGTTTTCAACGACCCCAGAACATACAAAACCGGCCCTAACCCCAACCCCCCCCCCCCCACCATAGCCTCAACCTAGGTCACACGGGAGACCTTTTTCGAAGAAAACAGTACAACATGACACCCCTCTGACCTAGATCAGGCTGGGAAAGTGAGTATATGGGCCTGGAAACGTGAACATATCCACAAAATAATGTTTGTATCCGCAGGAAAAAAAAACACACCTTGGTTATAATAAATATATGACAATGATACGCATGATTTTCCTCTAGATTCACTAACTCAGACGTCGATACAAATACAGACGCTAAACCGCCAGATGAGAACAAGTTAAGTGTGGAAAATGACCCCAGTAGAAAGCTTGCAAAACAACACGTTAGTATAGACCAGAATTACGACCTGAAGACTGAAGACTATCGAACGAGTGACGCTAACTATGCCTCGAGACGAAGCGTTTACTTACAGGGAATCCGGGCAATGAGCTTGTTTATGGATAGCGTGGAGGAGAAAACAGAACGGTAAGTCCTCTATGAGAAATATATTTGCACTCTATGCACATTAGAAAACCACCTGAAAAATATCGACGCAGTGACTAAATGTGTGTATCTGGGAGTTGTATTAGACCAAAATGGAGGCATTAAGACAGCTGGTTACACGAAAAGCAGCTGCTGGGAGAGTCTTCCAGGTCATAAACCGAGGGTTTCTTAGCAAATGAGAAATTGGCAAGAGGACGAAAATGGCTGTCTACCGTTCTACCTATGTACCAGTCCTGACCTATGGGTGTGACTCACGGGCAATGACAACAGCTCAGAGAAGCCAGCTTCAGCCTCAGAAATGATATATCTGAGAAAGGTGGTCCAAGTGAAAGAAGGGACAGTCCGCAATCAGACAATACGTCAAGATCTTGAAACCCAGTCCTTACAAACCCGAGTGGAGCGGTCACAGTTACGACGGTTTGGACATGTATGCAGAATGGGAGAAAATCGACCACCATGGCAGGCATGGGAGCCTAAGAACCAGGGAACCAGACCTCTAGGACGACCCAGGGTGCTCTGGGAATACAACATCCGACAGTCCCTAACTGGCAGAGGACTGGAATGGAACAAAGCCAGAAAGAAAACTGCTGATAGAGACGTCTGGCGATCTCTCTTTCAAACCTCTACACACCAAGGTAGAAGAGGAGCGACTAAGTAAAGACTAAATGTGTGCAACCTGTCTTCTTTTTGTCTATGCTTTACATGTATATACCCCCACCCACCCACTTTTTGCCTAGGTGATAAGAGAGGTGTAATTGGGGGTTGGGGGGGGGGGGGGGGTAGCTAAGCCCTTACTTTTTTCCCTTAATTTTTGTTTTCCTCAATTTGTTTTCTGAATTATGCTGCCGCCCCCCCCCCCCCCCCCCATTTTTTTTGTGTGTGGCTAAAATGTGTACGGCCTGGGTGGGGGACCTAAGTCCAGCCAGTATTTTCTTTTTGGCGGCTAGTCTGGACAAAGAGGATCCTTGCATATTTGCTTATCTAGAAACCCCACGAATTTAGTTCTTCTGCCACTTGGCATCGCCTTGTAACCGATGATAGGGATGGAGCGCTCAGTGAGGGAGCGCTCATTGACTTGGTATGCCTCTTGATGTTTCCATTTGTATTTATACGCTGTCGCTACAAGCATCATTAAATTCTTTCTCATTAGGTGGCCGAACCATTTCAGTCTTTGTTTCTCAGTCAGTAACGATGGTTATTTTTCGAATAGTTATTTTAACTTCTTCCTTTGCCACACGATATATTCTTGTTTTATTTCGCAGCCTTTCTATAATACGCTTCGTAATGCCGGGATGCCGGGTTCGATCCCAGTTGCGGGCCATGCTCCTTGTGTTGGTTTCGACAGTGGTATCAAGAAAGCCGACCGTCCAGTCGCAATGGCAAACTACTGGACGTAAATTTGCCTAGAAAAACCACACAACAGCCAAGAGCTGTTGGCGTTGATTCTGCAACGTCCTGCAAAGGATACGCAACTAACCTTTCTATCACATCTTTTTTCACAGATGGTTAGTTTTATCTCGTGTTCTTTTGTTAATGTCCAGTTCTTAGGCAGATAACTTAAAAATGGAAACTTGGAATACAGACTGCTTTTTAGAATTTATATGTTTAACTTTGTTAGAATAACCAGGTATTATAAGACTGGAGTAAGTTTATACGACTGACTGACTGACTTTAAACTCCACCAGGACATCACACAAGCGATAAACACCCGATGACACAAAGTGCCACCATGCGGATGAGGATCGCCGTGGAGAGGTCCCAGAAACCGCGTTCAGACATTTGGCCATATTTATGGCCTGCCTATATTGCGGCCCCCGGCAAAAGCCAGGGTGGAGCTTCAAATAAAAAATTTCATCCTGAAGAGGACGATAGAGGTTAAAAAAAAAATGAAGTTCATAGGTAGCGCTATGGACTAAATAGTACTTTCTTTGCTTCCCTTTTTGAATTACAATTTTTACCTAATGTATATTTCAGGCGTTGGTTTTTCCGTATGGTGTTGCTGTCCAGCATTCCTGGCTCTGCCAACTTGTACGTCCGGAACTACTTTCCAACCGTGACGCAAGGACAGGGGGCCACGTCAGATGAAAGCGCCATTTTGCTGACAATAGTAGGAACCGTGGACCTAATCAGCCGACTGTGCATTGGACTGTTTGCCGACACTCATATCCTGACTTCCGTACAAATTATAATTATTACCCAGCTGTGTCTTGGTAGGTACTGACTAATTATAATTATTACGCAGCTGTGTCTTGGTAGGTACTGACTAATTATAATTTTTACGCAGCTGTGTCTTGGTAGGTACTGACTAATTATAATTATTACGCAGCTGTGTCTTGGTAGGTACTAACTAATTATAATTATTACGCAGCTGTGTCTTGTTAAGTACTAACTAATTATGATTATTACGCAGCTGTGTCTTGGTAAGTACTAACTAATTATAATTATTACGCAGCTGTGTCTTGATTGGTACTGACTACTTATAATTATTGACTTATTATAATAATTACGCAGCTGTGTCTTGGAAGGTCGACTTTCCTGAAGGTTACGGGTGTGTCCCGCTCTGTTGTTTGGTTTCTGCGATGTCCTGCATTTACGTTTTCATTTCGAGAAAGAGAATGCCAGTGATATAGGTTGCAGCACTCTCTAGGAGGGTTGTGTTAGACCAAGTTTCTCCTTGTTTTTAGAGTGTTAAAAACCCTGGCATGCTGAAATATACAACAGGCGATATCAACGGAATTGCGGAACACCCCCCGTAACCGTGTGATAAGGTCACTTTGCTCAGAAACTACCAATCAGAAGTGAGCTAGTGTGTATTTGGGCACGGTCTAGGGAGACCCCCAACTACCTATGCTCAGTACTTAACTGGCTCTACGTCTCAGATTCAGTAGCTAACTGTCCCCCACAACACCCCTACCCCAACACATCAACAATACTATGTAACTGCCTATGATTCCCCTCCCCATCCCCGACTCCTCTAGGTTATTATTCAACTGGCTTCTTCCCCCCCCCTCCCCCCCCCACTCCTAAGCTTCAGTGTTTACCTATCATTTTTGCCCCACTCCTCAGAAAAAATACAACACTATGTCGCTGCCTAAGTTGTGCACCAACCCCCCCCCCCCCCCACCGTTCCTCAGCAACAAAAAACACTGTGTCACTGCTTAAGTTGTTCCACCCTCCCTCCCCCTGCAACACAACACCGTTGCTGTCTAAGTTGTTTACCCCCCCCCCCCCCCCCCCCCCAACCTCCAGCAACACACAACAGTGTGTCGCTGCCTAAGTTGTTCACCCTCTCCGCAAATCTTCAGTAACACAAAAACCTATGTCGTTGCCTAAGTTGTTCACCCCCCCCCCCCCCCCCAACAGCCCTACTCCTCAGCAACACACAACAATATATCGTTGCCCAAGTTGTTCCCCCACCCCCCTCCACTCTTCAGCAACACACAACACTGTGTTGCTGCCTAAGTTGTTCTCCACCCCCTGCCATTCATCAGCAACACACAACACTGCGTCGCTGACTAAGTTGTTCCCCCCTCCCGCCCCCGCCATTCATCAGCAACACACAACACTGCGTCGCTGACTAAGTTGTTCCCCCTCCCGCCCCCCGCCATTCATCAGCAACACACAACACTGCGTCGCTGACTAAGTTGTTCCCCCCTCCCGCCCCCGCCATTCATCAGCAACACACAACACTGCGTCGCTGACTAAGTTGTTCCCCCCTCCCGCCCCCGCCATTCATCAGCAACACACAACACTGCGTCGCTGACTAAGTTGTTCCCCCCTCCCGCCCCCGCCATTCATCAGCAACACACAACACTGCGTCGCTGACTAAGTTGTTCCCCCCCCTCCCGCCCCCGCCATTCATCAGCAAACACACAAAACTGCGTCGCTGACTAAGTTGTTCCCCCTCCCGACCCCGCCATTCATCAGCAACACACAACACTGCGTCGCTGACTAAGTTGTTCCCCCCTCCCGCCCCCCCCCAGCCCCCATTCATCAGCAACACACAACACTGCGTCGCTGACTAAGTTGTTCCCCCTCCCGCCCCCGCCATTCATCAGCAAAACACAACACTGCGTCGCTGACTAAGTTGTTCCCCCCTCCCGCCCCCGCCATTCATCAGCAACACACAACACTGCGTCGCTGACTAAGTTGTTCCCCCTCCCGCCCCCGCCATTCATCAGCAACACACAACACTGCGTCGCTGACTAAGTTGTTCCCCCCTCCCGCCCCCGCCATTCATCAGCAACACACAACACTGCGTCGCTGACTAAGTTGTTCCCCCCTCCCGCCCCCGCCATTCATCAGCAACACACAACACTGCGTCGCTGACTAAGTTGTTCCCCCCTCCCGCCCCCGCCATTCATCAGCAACACACAACACTGCGTCGCTGACTAAGTTGTTCCCCCCTCCCGCCCCCGCCATTCATCAGCAACACACAACACTGCGTCGCTGCTTAAGCTGCCCTCCCCCCCCCCCCCCCCCCCTGGCCTCTCAGCGTCATTGTTTAACTGAGTCTTTTTCCCCAGAGGGCCTCCATGGCGAAGTGGTCAAGACGTTTGGCTCGCGCTGTGAAGATCATGGGTTCGTTTCACAGCGGTACCGTTCAGTTCACGAGTGCATTTTTTACGGAGGTTCCTGGGGATCATAGCAGGAGCTACGAAGATCGTGCTCTGTGCGACGCTTTCAGCAAGCAGCTAGCTGTTTTGCGGAGCGAGACTGAGCCATGTGGGATAAAACCCGATGTAATGAAGTCGATCCTCTCACCTTTACCTCAAGATTTTTTTTTTTACCCCGTCTTCTCAGCGTCAGTGTGTCACTGCCTCCGTTTCTTCACTACCTTCCATTCGTTGATTGCCTTTGCGGTACTGATTGGTTGTTTCGTCGGCACTCGCATATCTGTGCTGCCTCTGCTTGCGATGGAGGTTGTGGGCGTGGACAGTATGCCTCAAGCTTTAAGCTTTATTTCAACCATCGGAGCTCTGTCGTCTGCGATTATGAATCCTATTTTCGGTAAGTATATACCTTTTATTCTTCCTCCCAGCGCTGTTAAAGATGACAGATTGTTCAGTGGCGTGATCGCCCACGCCATTCTGCAAGGCGCTTGATGCTGATGATGATGATGATAATATTAATGTTGATGATGATGATGAAGATGATGATATTTCTTTAATTAGGGGAAATTAATTCGTTTGTCAGAGTTAGAAGTGCAAAGCTGAGTTTAACTTTCTTGTGAGTTTTTTTTTTTTTTTTTGGTGACGTATGCCCTTAAAAAGGCTGCTGACACAGTTTATTAGTTTTTTTGTTTTTTTTTTCAAGTGTTTGGTCAAACTTTTATTTAGATTAAAAATTCATTGCCATATTTCAAAGTTACATTATACAGTGAATGCCACACAAAAGCATTAAATTTACAGGACATGCACGTATTCAGAACATTCATTTCTCCTCTCTCCCTCCCACTCGCGTTCTATCTACTCTCTCTCTCTCTCTCTCTTTCTCTCTCTCTCTCTCTCTCTCTCTCTCTCTCTCTATTTCTCTCTCTCTGTTTCTCTCCCTCTCCCTCCCTCTCCCTCTCTCTCTATTTCTCTCTCTCTCTCCATCTCTCTCTCTCCCTCTCTCTCTCTCTCTGAATCTCTTTGTCACTCTTTCACTCGCTCACAACATCACTCTTTTCGGTGCTTTCCCAATATCTCGTCCCAGGAATACGTCACAAGACACTCCAATATTTGTGAGAGTAGTAAGCAGTGTTGCCACTTTTCTTTGACAAAAATTATCCAAAACTGTGTCAAAAAATATCTAAAAAGATCTAAATCTGCGTGGAAAAGATCTAGAAAAAACATCCAAATTGAAAAAGTCAAAAATTACAAAGCTTTTGTTATGACTTACCCAACATAATCATGTCCTCACCTTCACTGATGCCTGCCTCACAATATCGACAGGATAAACTTAGCTTGGATAATGAAGTTGAAGCTTCAGATCCAAAATGACCCTGGTATGCTTTAGCTGTTCAAATTTCTTTATAAGTGGAACAGTAGACTTATTTCTCTAGTCTTATCAGGCCGAATTTTAATGGCACGATAGCATTTAAGAGGTCAAATTTCATCCTATTTTTTAGGTTAGATTTGATATAATTCCTAGCACTGAAAACTCTTTCTTCGTCAGCATTTGAGTGGGGTAGTATCATGTCAGACATGGCACTTTAAAGAGCTTACAGAATGGACTGTTTGATGAGGCATCTTCAAATTGTCTCACTTCACTCCAAAACTCTTTAGTTTCTGTTTTGTTTGTCCATTCAGCTAACTTTATTTTGGTTAACTGATATTCTGCTTCCGCGACACTATTATCAGTAGCCCCTAAAAATTTCATAACTTCACAATATTTAGGTATGTCCTTTATTGGCTGAAGTATGTTGCTCACAGAAAAAAGTGAAATATTTTTCAAAACATCTAGATTTTCAGGAAGTCTCTGCTTCAATAATGAGATAAGGAAATCTTGACAGCGTTTTCTTAAGTTGTTCTCTTCATTCTCTGTTAACAGTCTTTTTGTTTTTAAATCATCAATTTTTGATTCGATTTAATATCCAAAGTGTGGCTTAAGAGCCAAATAGCTCTCTATAGTGCAAGTGAGCAGTAAAGTGTTTCAGCAATAAGGTATTCCAAATTCCTTGGTAAATATTTAGATGAAGCATGTGATAATGCTAGCTACAATGAATGACGCATACATTTTATAAGTATTAACGATGGGTTAGCTTCCTTCAACTTGGCATAAACGCCATTGTTTATACCAACCATCACTGAGGCATTATCAGTACCAATTACAGCCAAATTCTTCAAGCCTAACTGTTTGCTGATTAAGTTCCTAAACTATAATTTCTGCATCACACTTTTCAAATTGAACTAGTCCAAGATTTTTGACAAATCGATCAAATGGTCACAGTTTGAAATTGCGCAGTGACAAATTAAAAACATTGCGACTGATACTTCAACCTTTGATGATTTATTTATCAGTATAGTTCTGAAAACAGATGTCAGCGGTGTAATATCTTTAAATGAAACTGCAGTTTGATGCTTTTTTAGTCTCTGCATGACTCTTTGAGTTTTGTATTTTCGCTTTAATTTCACACTTGCAGTACTCACAACAAGCTTTGGTCATATCCCCAGTTTTTAATTTTGTCATCATGCAACCACTCTTTCCAAATTTTTTGCCTATACTTTACTTTTGGCATGTTGAAAGGTTTTTTCAAAGTGAAAGCCACATAAGAAGGTGAGCAATTAATTTTTTTAAATCACATGCAAAAAGAAACGCAAAGTCAGCACAGTGAGGATACGGTTAAAACAAAGTAAGTATGATTTACGCGCGTTTTTATTAATCAGTACCGGGGCTGCCAGATATTTGTGCGTTGACCCCAGTGAGAGTTCAAAGTTCAAGTAATGGCAGTTGTCACAATGTACGTGCCAGACCAAAACAAAAATATTGTAGTAACTATTTTACACAGTAATGATTAAATTGACATTGAAAGAAAAAAAATCTATAAAATATCTAATTCCATATGAAAAGAATCTAGAAAAATATTTACGATCTAAACGTCAAAAACAGTATCTAAAGGCAATGAAAAAGATCTAAATTTGGATATAAAAGATCCAAAGTGGCAACACTGGTAGTAAGAGCGGGTTTCCCGGCTTTCTGAGGCTTTTAACGACCCCAAAACATCTAGAACTGGGCCTAACTCCAACTCACCTATATCCCACAAGAGAGTGCAGCCTAGGTCCCGCGACTGCATGCAGCCTATCTACCACCCACTAAAATATTCGACTGTCTGTTAAGTGGGGGAGGGGGGGGGGTGGTTTTGGATAGAACCCTCTTTTCTCCTATGGTGTATATTTATATGTATAACCGTTTAATGAGTGAAAAGTGTCGCTGAAATATTTTGAATAACTTTAATAAAAGCAAAAATAATAATATGGTAAAGAAAATGGTGATAACTAGTACTTTCGTTCCACCAACATTTGGAAGAGAGTAGAACATAAGGGGAGACAGAAAATGACAGGATGCGATGAAAGGAGGGAGCCATTCATAATTTTTGTTGCTGGTGTTGGCATCCTGACAAATTCAGCTACTGATGATGATGGTGTTGATGATGCTATAAGTAACATCATATTTACATTTTATATTCACACAGCAATTTCACAGACCTTAGACAAATTAAAAGAGGTGACGACGGTGAATAAGCAGCCGATTATTTTGAAGACGAACATTTGAAGGGCATGACTGAATGAAGTTCAGCCCTACTATGACCGAACAACGAGCTATTAACACCCGGTGATACAAAGTGCCACCATTCGGATGAGAATCATCTTGGTGCAAGTCCCAGAAACCCCGTTCAACCCTTCAGGAATGTTAGCACCTTCAACATTAGCCGGAGTGGGTGTTTTTTTTTTTTTTAGACCATTGGCATTGGGTGGGTAATGTGGTCAGTATTACGCCGGCCGTCTTTACTTCCCCAGGACAGCTATCCTGGTACCCATTTTTAGGCTGGGTCGACCTGCGACTCCCCATACCACCATAAAAATCCACCAGCCAGCAGAGGGTTTCGATCGCTGTACGATGGAATTTCGAGTTGGACTCGCAACGCCTAACCCACGGACGCCCTTTAAAAAAATGAAAATTGCATTCTATAATAAGACAAGGGCTGATTGACTTTCTACCCCACCAGGACATCACACAAGCGATAAACACCCGATGACACAAAGTGCCATAATGTGGATGAGGATGACCGTGGAGAGGTCCCAGAAACCGCGTTCAGCCATTAGGCCATAATTATGGCCGGGCTATATTGTGGCCCCTGGCATGAGCCTGAGTAGGGCTTCAAACAACGAAAAATTGCATCCTAAAAAGGACGTCAGAATTTTTTTAATGTAACTGAACACTAAGGCAGGATTGACTTGACTTGACCTTCTACCCCACCAGGACATCACACAAGCGATAAACACCCGATGACACAAAGTGCCACCATGCGGATGAGGATCGCCGTGGAGAGGTCCCAGAAACCGCGTTCAGACATTTGGCCATATTGATGGCCTGCCTATATTGCGGCCCCTGGCAAAAGCCAGAGTAGGGCTTCAAATGACAAAAAATTTCGTCCTAAAGAGGACGAAACTGAATATAAGGGCAATATCCCTTAAGGCAGGATTTCGAACACTTGCATCATACTAAGAAAATTTACTGCACTTTGATATATATATATACTAAAAATCACGAAACTTTTCTTTATTTCGTCTGTTTATTACAAACAAAGTGTTAACCTTTCCCAAACCGTGACCAGTACACGGTTTATATTTTCATTTAACAGTCACATTGACGACCCAGGTTATTGTGAATTTCTTTATTTATTGCGACAATCAGTAAAAGTAAACTTTTCCTAAAGTTATATCCCTTTCAATGGGTTACACATGTGATAATGAGACAGGGAGAGAAGAGATGGGGCGGGGGGGGGGGGGGAGAGACAGAGTGAGGACATATGTATGTTTTTCATGCACTGCAAATAGAGTTGATGTATCATTCATTGGATCATTCAACTTTTGAATATGTAACTTTAACACACAGAGAAAATACTGCCTTCTCCCTTTACGCCTGATGCTAATGTATCATAACACGGACGGGCATTGCAAAAGGGATACAAACGGTTGACTGCAGTGGAGCTAGTATATAATTTTTTTTTATTAATACAGTATTATTATTTACATGCACCTGACATACCTGTACGCGGACCGGTGTTCATGATTGCTTCCTTGATGGGTTCTTTATTTATATCAACCCCAGATGACGCGACAAGACAGTCCCACATTTTAGAAGGTGGTAAGACTGGGTTTCACGGCTTTCTGATGCTTTTAACGACCCCAAAACATCTAGAAATGACCCTAACCCCAACCAACCTACGTTCCACCTTAGGTCCCACTAATGCATGCAGCCTGTCTACCACTCCCTGAAAAATTAGACTGTCCCATGACCTGTTGATTTCCCCTGCTTGGGGTATGATATAAATAAAGCACCCCTTGATGTAGCATCCTTTCGATAAAGGCTCAGGCCAAAAACGTTCGACTGTAGGAGTGTGGCCCCCCCCCCTCGCCCATCCTTTTTTTCTTCCTCTTTTTTTTTTATATTGAGCCTTATAGTCACTGTTTCCTGGAACTCAATTTATATTTATTATAAACGTGCAGTCGTATTTTTGACTCGCCCTGTATAACATGTCGACTCTGTGGCTAAGTCGATGCGAACGGTTCGTAATACCAGGGTGCCGAGTTCGATCCCAGCTGGGGGCCGTGCGCATTGCGTCGGTTTCGACAGTGGTATCAGGGGGCCGACCGTCCAGAAGAAATGGCAAACTACTGGACGTAAATTTGCCTAGAGTAACCACACATCAGCAAGGGGCTGCTGGGGTTGGTTCTGCAACGTCCTGTAAAGGATACGCAACTAACCTGTATAACATAGCCGGCGTGATGCTGACCACATCACCCATCTTGTGCCCATTGGTCTATAAAAATATAGGTCTAGCCCTATATGCCTTATACGCCTAAAGGCGTGGAAAAGGGTCCTTTACTTTTTTACTGTTTACTGTATAACATAAGTACAATTAGCAAGCATATCGAACTCATGCTACGCCTTAATTTTAAAACAAACCACGGACACAATTATCAACAGGTTCTGTGGCGCAAAGAAATGGAGATTTCGTCCTGGTGATGAACTTGGTGGGCGGCTGCTTCACTCTGTCAAGTATCATCATGATCAGCATGCCTCCAGTGATACTACTGCGTCGTTTTGTCATGGCAAGAAAGTTCAAACGACTCCAATCTGCAATCACAGCGATTCAAGAGGCTGAAAGTACCTATTCAGACATAGAGAAAGCTGGATCAAGTGTGGATATTGCAAGGAAAACTATACAATCCTTTGACAATGTGAAAGCGTCAGGGTAG